AAGATTTATTTTCCCTGCCTGAGAAACACACCTTTGATTTGGTCTAAAAACAGCAGAAATATAAAGATTAATTTTTTAGTAAATGTTTTAATTTTACAGTATAAGGACAAAAAAAATGAAAATCTTTTTCTGTCTTCCACAGCACCTTTAAAGTCCAGTCCAAGTTCAATTTTAACAGGTGACTTGTAGTAGTGCCAAGCACTATGGGTATGGGTGATGATTTTTAATTGGTTTAAAAACTGTGATTCCACCCGGTACGGCTCAATAACATCTCGTCCTCCACACAGCTTCATGCCCCACCAGTGTTTTGTCTGCTGATTTTGTGGATTTGGACTTTATCTCTAGATTTATGTGCTTCTACCCTGGGTAATTGTTCCTTTTTTTGTCTGTTTTTACAACTGGGCGTCTGTACAGGGTGTTTTATTTTGAAAATTGACTAGATTCTTTACACCGTTTCTTTGTCTGACTTCCTGCCAGCTTGGTATTCTCCGCGGAGCAGAAGGGAGAGAAGCTTCCGGTGGAATTACAAGCAATGTCTATAAGTGCTGCGACGCAGGCATGACTAAATCAAGCTGTAAGTCTTTAGCTACTATGATGCAGTGAGGAGTTCTTACCAGACAGAGTCTGAGCGAAGGAGGCACACAGCCTGAAGAAATCCCTGATGGTTTGCAGTCTCTTGAGGAAGAACACCTCCTCCATCAGCTGCCGCTGATTAAGGCTGTCAAAGAAGTGGAGCTGTGTGGCCCGTGCCTCCCTGAGAACATCTACCTTCCTCCAAGCTGATGGCACCTCCAGAGAACTCAGCTGAGGATAAAGAGGAGCAGTAGAAAATGGGGGTGAGAGCGCCGATTGGTCACTCAGGGAAAAGCTGATCAATATTTACCACTGGCCTGTTTAAGACTGTACCACCCTGCACCAGCATTGTTTTTTGCCACACTGCTGCCAATCCCACTCCCACAATCCACAACTTCAGTTGCAAGCCCACAATCTAATAATTTTCTTTTGTCTGAAGTCCTTGAAAAACTGTAAAGTATACATGATAATGGCTTCGGAGTGTACATCGAAGGGTCTCATGGGAAATGCAGGTCGACTGGCCCGCACAGACCTCTAGCCTGTGGTTTTTACGTAGGATTGAGGGCTTACATATAAAATAACAGACATGACACAGGGAAGAACATTCTGTATGTCATTCAAATGCTATTATTACATTTATCATATTTGAATACAATTTGGAAGTTACCTTCTCTGTGAGCTGCCCAAAGGCAGTCTCTAGCTGGGTAAACATGCCATCAAAGGCCACCAACAACATCTGACCCGCAGACATCTTTGGTGTGTCCTGGCCTGGTCCATCCATGCTGCGAGGCTGGATCAGCTCAGAGTACTGAGCGCGCAGCATCCTGAGCAAAAAAAAAGAAAAAAAGAAAAGGTTTGTGTCTGATCATGACGAGTAGAACTCAATCCACAAACACAGCAGCTACTTACCTGGTGATGTGCAGGCAGTGGTTGTGCCCGTCGTGGTCCAGGCCTGTGGTGGCCTGCAGACTGTCGGCCAAACCCTGCAGGCCGAGGCCGTCTGAGCTCTGCTCCACCAGCTGCTCCAACTCTGCCAACATTGACTCAAGGGTGGGCTCTCCTTTCACCATACAGCGCAGAGCTTCTGGAAAGATGATCTGACGGAAGTTGGTGTTCAGTTCCTACAAAGGAGGAGACACATTAGTCAGAAACCCCTGTACAACAAAACAAAACATGACATAAGCTCATTTCCATCCAAAGAACAGGCTGCTTCTGGCTGTCACCGGTTGATTTCACCATGTTTTGGGGGTGCGCTTACCTGCAAGCAAGTATACACAGCGTTGGCCAGGTACACAGCTTGTGTGGTAGCTGAGGGTGCAGGCAGCTCCAGGTCGTGGGGCAGAAGTGGGCAGCGTTGTAGCAGTGTTGCCAGGGCACTGACATTTCCAATCATACTGCTGAGCTCTTCCAGGAACCACGCCCCATCCCGAGATGTCAGGTCTACCAGCTGCTCTCCAGCACTGGCCGCTGCACCCTCCATCACCATGTTCCGCCTGGAGAACAAAAAGAAATGTGATCTCATTCTGTTCGACTGCAAATTTTAGTTACATGTTCCAGAAACACCACATATAAATAGTTTGATGTTCTAAACAGAAATACAGATGAAAATAGCTTAACTTAGCACTTCGTAGGATATTTTACCACTAACTGGACAAACAGCAGAGTGAAATGTGAACGAAAATTGGTTAAACCTGCAGAGTGTGCAGAGGGCAGAGGTGATGATTCCAGCCATGCTGAGGGAGCCCGACTCGCCATTCTCCCGTAGGTAGACTGTGATGCAGTGCTCAATCTCCTGGAGCTGCTCCTCGCAGGCTGCTGCAGTTGTGCCCTCAGCCTTCAGTCGCTCTGCTTGGTGCATCACACGCTCGTTAGTGTCAGCCACTTGGTGCTGCAAAGTCAGCTCCACGCTGGACAAAAACTGGCAGGAGGCTGCAGGAGGCTGGGGAGCAAACAGCACCTCATATCTGTAAAGGGAGAAGGAAACAAAGCTCAATGATGAGTACAACAAAATGACATAATCTTAATGATAATGATATGATGGTGCAGAGGCAGAGAGGGTCGT